TTGTAGGTATCACTGGGAGGAATTGACCTCCAGGCCAATTGGCTGTGAGAATCAGCTATGTCTGCAGTGGGAGAACTTCTGTGCTGGAGACACCCTTATGGGGCAAGACTTGCTTCAGTGGAGCTTTGGTGCTCACTGAGTCTGCCCCCTGAGTGTGTTTCTTATGGGTCCGAGGGGTTGCAATCTGGATGGTCCCACTCTGACCACCGGGTATACTGGCTCCTGGATCTTTCAGGAGGTGCTAATCTAGCCTTTGCCTGAGGCTACTCAGCAGGAGCTCAGCTGTGAAGGAATGCAAGTTGCCCTGGGGCCTTGGGCCAGCTTCAAGTTTGTTAGGTAATTTTCAGATTGCAAAAGCCTCCGTGCACAGCTTGGGCGGGGCGGGGTCCCAGGGGATCAATAGGGTGGAGCAAATAGCTATGGCTGATCATCAGTCCTGCCCTAAGAGGCCCCGAGTCTCAGTGTCCCGGTAATCACTGCAAGCACCTCTGAGAGAAAGCCGCCCTCAAGATGTGAATGATGCCAGACAGTCTAGCCTCTCCCCGTATCAGTCAGGGTCCCCAGAGACTCGCCCGGAACTGGAGTTCAGAGCAGTCGGGAGTTTGAGACTCCCTCCTGATTGAAAAAGCCAACCATGTCCTCAGCTGCCAGCCCTTTCTGCGTCCGCCTCCGTACCTGTGCACTTAACTTCCGCACCGCAGCTCCTCTGAGTCCTGGTATGCTTTTCTCTTTCCTTCTAGTTGTAGTATTTCCACTCAGCCAGCCTTCCTGTGGTTCGGGATGATGCCCATTCTGTCTTTTAGTTGTATTCTTGAAGTGGTTGTGCGAGGCAGCAATCTCCGGTGTTTACCTATGCCACCATCTTGGTTCTCTTTTTCTTTTTAATTCAGTGGTTGAGCATCAGTTTTGAAAGATTGTGTGCATTCTAGGAATGTATTCATTTTTTCCAGGTTATCCAATTTGTTGTCATAATATCTATATATGTAAAAGCCTAGGCGACTGGCCCACTGTTCAACCGTCCAACTGGTAGCTATGACATGCACTGACTACCAGGGGCTAGACTCTCAACGCAGTGACTTGGCAGCTGCGGTTCTTGAGTGACACACCGGGAACCAGAGAGGAGGGAGCCCGATTCTGGGGTGCATCACCAGAGAACCACCCTCTCATAATCCAGGACCCCTCGAGGGATGTTGGAGAGCCAGTTTCAGCCCGATCCTCACCGGCCAGGCTGAGGGACCCCCACACACACACCCCGTGCATGAATCCGTGCACTGGGCCTCTAGTTTTCTTATAATAATTTTTATTTTTGTGGTGTCAGTTACTTCTCCTTTTCATATCTGATTTTATTTGTTTGGGTCCTCTCTCTTTGTTTCTTTTTTTTTTTTTAAAAACATTTTATTGATTTCAGAGAGGAAGGGAGAGGGAGATAGAGATAGAAACATCAATGATGAGAATCATTGATTGGCTGCATCCTGCACACCCCTTACTGGGGATCAAGCCCGCAACCCAAGCATGTGCCCTTGACTGGAATCAAACCCAGGACCCTCCAGTCCGCAGGCCAGCGCTCTATCCACTGAGCCAAACCAGCTAGGGCTCTCTTTGTTTCTTGATGAGTCTGCTTAAAGGTTTATTTATTTTGTTTATTATCTTTTTACTATCAGCTCTTGGTTTTGCTGATCTTTTATATTGTTTTTGTTAGACTATTTTTCATTTATTTCCACTCTGATATTTATCATCATCTTCCTTCTACTCACTTTGAACTTTGCTTGTTGTGCTTTTTCTAGTTCCTTAAGGTATAAATTTAATTTATTTGAGTTTTTCTTACTTCTTGGGGTAGGACTATAATGCTATGAATTTCCCTCTTAGGACTGCTTTCATTATGTCCCACAGATTTGGGGTTATTGTGTTTTCATTTGTCTCAGGTATATTTTGATTTCTTCCTTGATCTAATTGTTAGTTCATTCATTGTTTAGTAACATGTGCTTTAGCCTCCAAGTGTTTTGTGTTTTTTAGGTTTTTTTCTTGTAATTGATTTCTAGTTTCATACCATTGTGGTTGGAGAAGATGCTTGATATGAATTTAATCTTCTTCAATTTACTGAGACTTTTTTTGTGTTCTAACATGTAGCCTATTCCTGAAAGTGTTCCATGTACATTTGAAAAGAATGCATATTCTGTTGCTTTGGGGAGAAATATTTTGAAAATATCAATTAAATCCATGTGGTCTAGTGTGTCATTTAAGGCTGCTATTTCCTGGTTGATTTTTTGTGTGGATGATCTATCCATTGATATCAGTGAGGTGTTAAAATCTCCTACTATGATTTTATTATTGTTGCTCTCTCCCTTTTGCTTTGTATATTTAGGTGCTCTTTGGTTGGATGCATAAATGTTTACAAGGGTTCTATCCTCTTATTGTATTGATCTCTTTATCATTATGTAATGTCTTCCTTTGTCTCTTAATATAGCCTTTGTTTTAAAGTCTATTTTATCTGTTATAAGTATTGATACCCTGGCTTCTTTTTTGGTCCCATTTGCATAAAATATCTTTTTCTATCCCTTTACTTTCAGTCTGTGTGTATCTTTCATTCTGAGGTGGGTCTCTTGTAGACATCATATATATGGGTCTTGTTTCCTTACCCATTTAGCTACCCTATGTCTTTTAATTGGAGCATTTAATTCATTTACAATTAAAGTGACTACTGATAGGTGTGCATTTATTGTAATTTTGGTTTTTTATAACTATTTTTTTTCTCTTTCTCTTCCTAAAGAAGTCCCTTTAACATTTCTTATAAAACTGGTTTGGTGGTGCTCTTGACCGCAGGACCTGCTGCTCTCACACCGGCCCCCAGCCCTTCCCCAGCGCCCACCCTCTGGTGGCCCAACCACCCGACCCCTCCAAGTTCCCATTCCCGTGGCCCTGGTGCCCATGGCGACCCCCGGAGGCAACCACTGCTCCTGCTGTTACTCGCAGGCCTTGTGTGGTGCATCAGCAGTGTTGTTTGTAGTGAAGGTTGGCAACAGGACAGCTTGTATAATGGCCAACTTCTCTGCTGACTTCTCAATCAACTATAATACCAAGAGTGGCTCTAAGAATGTGATCTTCGACCTGTCACCTAATGCAAAGCATTAAATAGCAGCTCCTGTGGTAAAGAGGAGCTTCTAACCCCAGTCTCATGATTGCTTTTGGAAGAAGACATACACTGGCCCTCAATTTAGCAAGAAATGCTACACGTTACAGTGTCCAGATGATGCGTTCTGTTTTATGACTTGTCAGACACACAGATTTTCCCCAATGCAAGCTTCCAGGGAGTCAAGACTATAAAATCCATAACTGACATCATGGCAGACATAAATAAAAAATACATATGTGTGAGCAGCAACCAGGTCCACATGAATAGTGTAACTGTCACCATCTAGGCAAACCTTTCAAATTAGCTTCAGCAAGAAAGAGACATGCTGTATGCAAGATGGACCTTCCCCAACAATTCACCAACATCTCATCATCCCCTCCCCACTCTTCACCTCCCCGCCCTTCCCCTCCCAACCTTCACCAACCCCTCCCCACTCCACCGTCTCCAGTGCCTGAGAGCCCCTCGGTGCACAAGTACAACGTGAGTGGGACCAACGGAACCTGTCTGCTTGCCAGCTTGGGGTGCAGCTGAATGTCACCTATAAGAAGAAGGAAGACAAGACTGTGACCAGAGTATTCAACATTAACGCAGATAACACCAAAGTCGGTGGGAGCTGCACTACCCAGCTCATGACCCTTGAGCTCCAGAGTGAGACCAGCACTTTCCTAGTCTTCCAGTTTGGAATGAATGTGAGTTCTAGCTGTTTTGTTTTTTGTGTGTGGGGGTGTTTTTTTTTTTTCAAGAAATCCAATTGAACATGACTCTTCCCGACACCAAAGACCCCACCTTCAAGGCCACTAACAGCTTACTGAGAGCACTTCAGGCCACTATAGGGAATTCCTACAAGTGTAATGCCAAGGAGCACATTTGGGTCACAGAGGCCTTTTCTGTCAACATTTTCAAAGTATGGGTCCAGGCTTTCCAGGTAGAAGGTGACAAGTTTGGGTCTGGTAAGTAGCATTGAAGGCAGCGTTTCAGACTCTGAGTGGGCTTCAGCAGGCTTTGGTTCTGTTTAGATATTTAACAGCTTCTGTGTTGCAAGGAGGGGGTGGGAGTGCAGGCTCCCTTTCCCAGCCTAAGAGAGTTTTAGAGCAAATTCCCCTTCCTGTGTTAGCTTGCTTCCAAAATGCCCAGCATGTCTCAGCTGTGAGCATGTCACTATTTGAGCAAACGCAACCCAAGCATGTGCCCTTGACTGGAATCAAACCCAGGACCCTCCAGTCCGCAGGCCAGCGCTCTATCCACTGAGCCAAACCAGCTAGGGCTTTCTTTGTTTCTTGATGAGTCTGCTTAAAGGTTTATTTATTTTGTTTATCTTTTTATCTCTATCAGCTCTTGGTTTTGCTGATCTTTTATATTGTTTTTGTTAGACTATTTTTCATTTATTTCCACTCTGATATTTATCATTTCCTTCCTTCTACTCACTTTGAACTTTGCTTGTTGTGCTTTTTCTAGTTCCTTAAGGTATAAATTTAATTTATTTGAGTTTTTCTTACTTCTTGGGGTAGGACTATAATGCTATGAATTTCCCTCTTAGGACTGCTTTCATTATGTCCCACAGATTTGGGGTTATTGTGTTTTCATTTGTCTCAGGTATATTTTGATTTCTTCCTTGATCTAATTGTTAGTTCATTCATTGTTTAGTAACATGTGCTTTAGCCTCCAAGTGTTTTGTGTTTTTTAGGTTTTTTTCTTGTAATTGATTTCTAGTTTCATACCATTGTGGTTGGAGAAGATGCTTGATATGAATTTAATCTTCTTCAATTTACTGAGACTTTTTTTGTGTTCTAACATGTAGCCTATTCCTGAAAGTGTTCCATGTACATTTGAAAAGAATGCATATTCTGTTGCTTTGGGGAGAAATATTTTGAAAATATCAATTAAATCCATGTGGTCTAGTGTGTCATTTAAGGCTGCTATTTCCTGGTTGATTTTTTGTGTGGATGATCTATCCATTGATATCAGTGAGGTGTTAAAATCTCCTACTATGATTTTATTATTGTTGCTCTCTCCCTTTTGCTTTGTATATTTAGGTGCTCTTTGGTTGGATGCATAAATGTTTACAAGGGTTCTATCCTCTTATTGTATTGATCTCTTTATCATTATGTAATGTCTTCCTTTGTCTCTTAATATAGCCTTTGTTTTAAAGTCTATTTTATCTGTTATAAGTATTGATACCCTGGCTTCTTTTTTGGTCCCATTTGCATAAAATATCTTTTTCTATCCCTTTACTTTCAGTCTGTGTGTATCTTTCATTCTGAGGTGGGTCTCTTGTAGACATCATATATATGGGTCTTGTTTCCTTACCCATTTAGCTACCCTATGTCTTTTAATTGGAGCATTTAATTCATTTACAATTAAAGTGACTACTGATAGGTGTGCATTTATTGTAATTTTGGTTTTTTATAACTATTTTTTTTCTCTTTCTCTTCCTAAAGAAGTCCCTTTAACATTTCTTATAAAACTGGTTTGGTGGTGCTCTTGACCGCAGGACCTGCTGCTCTCACACCGGCCCCCAGCCCTTCCCCAGCGCCCACCCTCTGGTGGCCCAACCACCCGACCCCTCCAAGTTCCCATTCCCGTGGCCCTGGTGCCCATGGCGACCCCCGGAGGCAACCACTGCTCCTGCTGTTACTCGCAGGCCTTGTGTGGTGCATCAGCAGTGTTGTTTGTAGTGAAGGTTGGCAACAGGACAGCTTGTATAATGGCCAACTTCTCTGCTGACTTCTCAATCAACTATAATACCAAGAGTGGCTCTAAGAATGTGATCTTCGACCTGTCACCTAATGCAAAGCATTAAATAGCAGCTCCTGTGGTAAAGAGGAGCTTCTAACCCCAGTCTCATGATTGCTTTTGGAAGAAGACATACACTGGCCCTCAATTTAGCAAGAAATGCTACACGTTACAGTGTCCAGATGATGCGTTCTGTTTTATGACTTGTCAGACACACAGATTTTCCCCAATGCAAGCTTCCAGGGAGTCAAGACTATAAAATCCATAACTGACATCATGGCAGACATAAATAAAAAATACATATGTGTGAGCAGCAACCAGGTCCACATGAATAGTGTAACTGTCACCATCTAGGCAAACCTTTCAAATTAGCTTCAGCAAGAAAGAGACATGCTGTATGCAAGATGGACCTTCCCCAACAATTCACCAACATCTCATCATCCCCTCCCCACTCTTCACCTCCCCGCCCTTCCCCTCCCAACCTTCACCAACCCCTCCCCACTCCACCGTCTCCAGTGCCTGAGAGCCCCTCGGTGCACAAGTACAACGTGAGTGGGACCAACGGAACCTGTCTGCTTGCCAGCTTGGGGTGCAGCTGAATGTCACCTATAAGAAGAAGGAAGACAAGACTGTGACCAGAGTATTCAACATTAACGCAGATAACACCAAAGTCGGTGGGAGCTGCACTACCCAGCTCATGACCCTTGAGCTCCAGAGTGAGACCAGCACTTTCCTAGTCTTCCAGTTTGGAATGAATGTGAGTTCTAGCTGTTTTGTTTTTTGTGTGTGGGGGTGTTTTTTTTTTCAAGAAATCCAATTGAACATGACTCTTCCGGACACCAAAGACCCCACCTTCAAGGCCACTAACAGCTTACTGAGAGCACTTCAGGCCACTATAGGGAATTCCTACAAGTGTAATGCCAAGGAGCACATTTGGGTCACAGAGGCCTTTTCTGTCAACATTTTCAAAGTGTGGGTCCAGGCTTTCCAGGTAGAAGGTGACAAGTTTGGGTCTGTGGAAGAATGTCAGCTGGATGAGAATAACATGCCAATCCCCATCACCGTGGGTGGTGCCCTGGTAGGGCTGGTCCTCATCGTCCTCATCGCGTACCTCATTGGCAGGAAGAGGAGCTATGCCGGCTACCAGACGATTTAGCGTGGCTGCAGACCAGCAGAAGATGCAGGGCTCTGTTCATTTCCCTGAGCTCAGGTTGACGTTGAGGGAGGCACACTTTATTGCAAACTGATTTTCAGATCTGCTTTATCCAATGTGAAGTTCATCTTGCAACATTTACTATGCACAAAAGAGTAACTCTCGCAATGATGGTGTTAATTTTGCTAACAGGGTTAAATATTTTCCTAATTGGTTATATGTTAATATTTACTAAAGTAGAACTTTAAGGGGGAGAGGGTAAGAGTGCTTTTCTAAATGGGCACTGGCTCCACTATCATTTGACTTTTTAAGGTTCTGGTGTTTAGTTTCTCTTCATTCTTGACTCAGATATAAGCCTTACAAAGGGAGGTTCTGTGGTCTTAACACTTACAACTAATGAAGGCTGGCTAACTGTTAGACTGACACAGTTCATAAATTAGTAGAGAAAGAAAATTCTAAAGCAGAAGTACTTCAAAAGAGGAAACTCTAGAATGCTTAAATTAAGCTTTAGAAGCCAAGACAGGCCTGGCCCTCACAGGCTGCACAGCTGAGCATTAAAGCGATTGGTCTTTCCATGCTCTGCCACTCAAGAGCTGGCACTTCTTTAAATAGAAAAATGGGTGTTATTTTTATTTACTTTTTTTTTGTAAAGTGATTTTCAATCTTCTGTCTGAGGTTCAGGGTGATCCTGTGGCTGCACTTGTGTACAATAATCGGTTCCACTCTCTGATTTATCTGCTTGCAGCTTGGGTGGGCTGTGCACTGAGGATCCCTTCATTTAATGCATTGCCGTAACAAGGCTAATAAAACGTCTCTTTCTTTAAAAACAAAAATAAAACAAAACAAAACAAAAAAACTGGTTTGGTGGTAATGAACTCCTTTAGCTTCTTCTTGTGTAGGAGCTCTTTATCTGTCCTTCAAATCTAAATGATAGCTTTGCTGGGTAAAGTAATTTTGGTTGTAGGTCCTTGCTTTCATCACTTTGACTATTTTGTGCCAATCACTTCTGGCATGAAATGCTTCTGTTGAGAAATCAGCTGATGGTCTTATGGGAGTTCCCTTGCAGATAACTGTCTTTCTCTTTCTGCTTTTAAGATTCTTTCTTTGTCTTTAATCTTTGCTATTTTAATTATGATGTGTTTTGGTGTGGGCCTCTTTGGGTTCAT